TGACCGCATTAAGGACACTACATCGATTTTTTAAATATATAATTTATTGCCTGTGATGGTCCCGTTATTCCTCTTCTCCACCTCACGTGATCGGGTCAAAGGTCCACTGTCGCACCGTTAGTTTACGGTGTGTCCTCTTTTTGTGGGTCTGAAGTCCGCCTTTTTACCGTTCGAACTTTTTGCCGTTCGAACTTTCCTTTTAAGGGTCCAATGTCCAACTCGGTACCGTTAGGTCACGCTGTCTCCGCTTTGCTGGGGACCTAGGTCCGATGTTTACTGTTTGACCTCCTTCGCTGTTGCTATGCAGCTCACCTGCACCGAGGTTTGTGGGGAGTTTTAAGACTCCTCACAATACAAAGTTTCACCCTATTGCTTATTTTTCTCAAGGCGGAACACCGGCCGAGACAACCTATCATTTTTCGAATTAGAAACACTTGCTATTAATATATTAGCTTAGTAAATTAACTATATACTTGGAGGGTATTACTTTTAAAATATTAAATGACTGCAATACATCGACCTTAACGCTTAATCGAAGAACCTTGAATGCCAGAATCAAAGGGCGGGCCCTTGAATTGGAAAATTATAATTATGTTATTCAGCATTGAAGCGAAAACTATAAGGCTCATGTAGATACTTTGCCTTCAAACGATTATAAGCATACAAGAAACAAATTCTCACGAACAATAAGTTTAATTATCAGATGAGGATAGCTTAAAGTTTCAGTTACTGGCTATAAGAAGTACAGACAAACTAATTTAAGTTCTAAAGGATAAAAATTATAAATTCCTATGGGAGCTATATGCTATAGTCGCCCGATTTTAATGAAATTTAAACCGTAATTATGAAATATTTAACCATTACTATATGTCGAAGAACTAAACAAAAAATTAAAAAACAGCAAAGTTATTATTTTTTTGTTTGTTTATTTTTTCGATTGTTCCTATGGGAGCTATTGGACAACATTTGGGAAAGTTTCATGCAGATAGCTTTAAAACTGAGAGACTAGTTTGCGTAGAAACGGACGGACAGACGGACAAACGGACATGGCTAAATCGACTGGCCTAGTGATGCTGATCAAGAATATATATTCTTTATAGGGTCGTAAATGTCTCCTTCACTGCGTTGCAAACTTCTGACTGAAATTATAATACCCTCTGCATGGGTATAAAAATCATACCAAAATAAAGAGGCCCATATAGAATTCGGAAAAGTCTTCTAAACGACATAGACGTGGTTTCGGACATAGAGAATTCCAAAATTACACAAATACCATTTGAAGCTAGTAGATTACGAAAATAGGCAGATATTAACTTAAAGCTTATTTAATTGTTATTTATAATTGATCGGGACTTGTTTTTATATATTTTACCAAAAAAAAAAAAAAAACACGACCTCGAGACGGCAAAACATTATATTAACAAATAATTTTTTTTTAAATATCAAGTTAATTTTAATCTCTAAATAATTTATATGTTATGTTTAAGTCTATCGCTATCAGCGTTGAGATTACAAAACACTACTATTAGGATCGATACTAGGAAATAGAGAGGAAGAACTCGTGTGCTACGAAATAAAATAAAATAAAAGAAGATCTACAACAAACGAGGTCGCCGACTATTTGATTTCCGTTACTCAGCCAACAAATTTCATTCAAAATATTCCCACACAAATCAATCGCCATCTGTCGAACTGCATGGCCAACACTAGAAGCTAAGAGCGTGCAGCACCCCCACCTTTCGTTCCTTCGTTCTGACTCTCTACATCTGGAACCACCGGAAGAGTAGCGGTCGATTAGTGGCAAAGCGGCGGCAGAGCGGCGGCAGAGCGGCGGAAGAAGACTTTATAACGTCTAAAATAATAGCTCGAGTTCGAAAATTGTCTACCGATCGATATGACCGAAAAGCACAGATCGAGTTCAAAAGCTAAGGTCTACATGTCTCAGAGTGACGTGAGATTTTTGCCATTTGTGGGCCTTAGAGTGAGTCCGTTTTGAAATTAACTTGCGCTGCGGAAGAATTGCTAGAATCTGTATTTCAAATCCCAAATCTATAGCTTTTTTAGTTTTCGAGATCTCGTCGTTCATACGGACGGACAGAATGACAGACAGACGGACATGGCTAGGTTGACTCGGCTTTTGATCCTGATCAAGCACACATATACTTTATATGGTTGGAAACGCTTCCTTCTGTCTGTTACATACTTTTCAACAACTATCATATTCCCTTGTTGTGGCAGATCTGAAAGTGGTCGTCAAAGATGTTTAGAAGTCTGCTAAAGGGTTTTTCACTTGTGATAAATAACATAGAGTATGCTTTGATTTTCACAAGTTATAATTTATTGACTTTCAATCTTGAGATTTACTTATGTTTGTGCAAAGGTTGGATTTCAAGCGAATTTAAAACGCTACCAGCTTGTAATAGTTAGATGTAACTAACTATTGTCAACCTGATAGCTCTGGTAATGACACAGACATTGGGGTGTTGTCCTTACCATCACTTACCATTGGTGAAGGAAAACTAGAGTTGTCTAAAGACCAGAATTCTAAGGACGGTCAAAAGAAACTCTTCTGCATTTTTTAATAAGCGAATAATAGTTTAATAACTGATAACCTGATTGTATTTTACTAAGTTTCCGGCGTGAAACCCACTGAGATTATCAGCGTAGTGTGAATAAAATTCTTTTTGTTTTTATTTTTGGGGTAGGTTTAAATGGCTCAGTGGCTCACAAGTGCCAGTAAAGCACCATTCTTTAAATAACATTTGTTTTGCTCCTTATACCGTGTAACGTGGACATATTAATGCCCTTGACCTCAAAGCACTTGGGCCAAGGTAAAAGCGTCCGTTGGTAAAGCAGCCGGATTTGGGTGTGGTTCCTGATAGCTTTTCCCTCTCCAACATAACAAGGCTTAATCTTAAACGTGCGTACTAAAACTCAATCAATGTAAAAGTCAGTTTGTTATCAGTCTAAATTGCTCAACCAGCTTAGCTGTCACTTGAGCTTAATACGATCGGGCTGTGTTTCGGCCACACACCCTCCTCGTCACACTTGCTCGTGTGCAAATGGATCGTCGCGGGCCGCGCAATACGATGCCATACATAGTCTCACGGTTTTCCGTCTATGTCATTTTCTTAACCTTAGAGATTTGAAAATATACGACTCTACTCATGTTCTACTCATATATTTGCTCATTATTGTTATTGGTTTATTTTTTTTTATTGTGGTTTTTAGTGGCTTTGGCGGATTGTTATTATTATTTTAATCGTATTGTGTTTGTATCTCAAACTGGAGCATTAGAATCCATGATATATTGTCAACGAAAAAGACAAGCTTCCAAGGTCAGATTGTTGAAGGACGAACATTTTTAGTAGTATTGAAGAAGTTATACGATGGTTGTTTTACGGTTACCCTACCATGTCTTCGGCAGCGTTAATTATCCGCTCCAACGATAAGTTTGCTGATTTAGAGCTGGTTTTGGTGCTGGATAAATACAGTCAGAATGTTTTGCGCATATTTGTTTATTTATTTGCATTTAAAAATGAATTAATATCTTGGCTGATTATTGTTTATTACTCATACGTAACAACCGACCCCATTTCAGCAATTCAATTTGTTCATCCTTACTTTTTTATTCCCATTTCAAAATATTGTTTATACTCGTATATTGTAACTGTTAAAAATTATGTAACAGGTATATAAATTCTTGATCAGGATCAATAACCGAGTCGATCTAGCCATGTCCGACTGTCAGTCCGTCTGAACTACTGAACTACTTTTCCCCTATACATGGGTGAAAAGTTAAGCATTCCGTTGTCGTAACCTATGGTGTGGGTTTTAAAATTGCTAAGCAATGAACACGGTTGATTTGGGAGTGACTTAAAATCAATTATGGAATAGGGGTTGTACATACCCATACAAAACTATAAAGTTGCTTGAGTCACTTAGTAACTTTAGGGTGGACCTAGGCATGAGCTCTTTCTAAAAGATTTTTTTTCCGAGTCGATTTAGCCATGTCCGACTGTTAGTACGTCTGTCTGTCTGTTTGTCTGTCCGTCGGTATGAACGTCGAAATCCCGGAAACTTTTGTTATCCAGCGATTACACACCGTGTCTTCGGCAGCGTTAATTATCCGCTCCAACAATAATTTGCTGATTTAGAGCTGGTTCTGGTGCTGGATAAATACAGTCAGAAGTTTGCAACGCAGGGAAAGAGACATTTCCGACCCATAAGATCAGGATCACTAGGAAAGGCGATCTATCCATGTTCCGTCCGTTTCTACGCAAATTAGTCTCTCAGTATATATATATATATCAGCATTTCAAAAGTTGTCTTCTTGTTGCAGGTAGTATATAAGCCGGAACGATCCATAGCGTTCTCTCTTGTTTTTATTACTTATTTTTTGGAGCTGCGATTTAAATTTGATCAAAGTCGGACGACTGATTATATAGGTCCCATAGAAACAATCGGAAAATTAAAAAAAGTAATGAAAAAAAAAAAAAATTTGAACACTTCTAAATTTAAACTTTTTTTACATTGTATTGGACTTATGAATGGTTTAATTATTCAGAATTAAGCTTTTCATTTTATTTAAATAAAATCAAATTCGATAAGCCGAAGTTTGCTTCCTTTTTTTTAATATTAAAAAAAAAAATACATTGATCAAAATGATAGGTGACTTGAACTTGGCTTGTAATCAAAAGTAATTTTAATTTGAAAGTTTTAAATGTCCGCAAATTTATACCCTTAGTAAATAGTAAGAAGCTGTTACATCCTTTGTGTGGAGATAACATCTGGACAGGGCTAGATTTCTACATACAAAAATAAATACTGGCGATTTCACATAAAATTTTACCTCTGCCCCGGTTTCGCTGAGTTTCTCTTGTTCTGTTTTCCCAAAGCATGTTCTGGCATTGTAGGTTGTTAAGGTGTTCACCAAAATTATATTTGTAATTAAAATTTAACTTAAAAAGTTTTTATTAAGAATCTCAATGTAATTTCAGCACTTTAATATATCAAATTGGCCTCTTGCCAAGTTCGATATCGAGGCAGATAATGCGAACTACACTTGTGTCTCGACGGGCAACACAGTGGGACCTAGCATCAGGAGTCGCACTTATTTCGGCATTGAATGTGAGTAACATAATTATGCTTAGCTATATAAAACCCATGCCTTTTGCAACAGACGCACCGGACAATACAACCGTCTCGGAGAATATTGTTTATGTGCAAGAAGATAGAATACCAGGCCCTGTGATATGCAAATCCCGAGCTAATCCAGGTTAGTTATTTAAACCATTTAACTATATTCGTTTACCGTCAAGTCCCATATTTATAGAACCTTCATATAAGTGGTTTTTCAAAAACGAAACTATAGCTAATGGAAATGCATTAATTATTAATAATGCTATGAAACGTACTGATAATGGCACCTATACCTGTCTTGCCTATAACAAGCATGGTAGCAGCACTGCTGAAACCGTTATCAAAGTTCATTGTAAGTAAGGGTAGTGACATACGTCAACATTTCTTATTAATATTCAAACATTATTTTATAGTTAAGCCACGATGCGAAATCGAAAGACGGGAAATTGACGATCAGGATACTCTTATTTGTACTGCTATTGGAGATCCTTCGGAGGTAAGTTTACTATATAACAAGAAAGGAAGCAGTCTTCGCCAAGTTTATACCCTTGCAGCTAATTTAAAAACTATATATTTATGTGGATATATGTTTAATACCAGTTGAAGTTTGATGATTTTCTGCTAAAATAATCGATCGTTTCTATGGAAGCTTTACGACATCGTTTTCCGATTATAATAAAATTAAAGCCGCAATTCGAAGTATATTTAAATCAAATGAAAAACGGCTATAATATTGTTATATATTTTTGTTCATATATTTTTCCGATTACTATATAATATAGTCGGAAGATATAAATAAAACTAAAACCGTATTTCTAAAATAAGAACCTTTATTTCAAGCTATGATGATTTACAGCTTAATTAAACGATAATTCCTAGGCAGCTATATAATATCGTCTTCCGATTTTAAAAAATTAAAAGAGTTATTCTGAACTATCAAATTAATACAAAGTCTAAAAGAATTAAAAAAAATTACAAATTAGGAAAGTTTTATTTTTAAACAAAATAGTTTTTATAGCCTTGCAGAGGGTATTATAATTTCAGTCAGAAGTTTGCAACGCAGTGAAGGAGACATCTCCGACCCTATAAAGTATATATATTCTTGTTCAGCATCACTAGGCGAGTCGATCTAACCATGTCCGTCAGTCCGTCTGTCCATCTGTCCGTCTGTCCGTCCGTTTCTACGCAAACTAGTCTCTCAGTTTTAAAGCTATCTGCATGAAACTTTCCCAAAAGTTGTCTTTCTACTGCAGGTAGTATATAAGTCGGAACGAGCCGGATCGGACGACTATAGCATATAGCTCCCATAGGAACAATCGGAAAAATAAATGAAAAAAAATTATAACTTTGCTGTTTTTAAATTTTTCTATTAGTTCTTCGACTACTTCAGAATTACGGTTTAAATTTCATCAAAATCGGAGGACTAATCATATAGCTCCCATAGGAACAATCAGAAAAAAAGTACAAAAAAACAAGAAAGAAAGCAAACTTCGGCAAGCCGAAGTTCATATACCCTTGCAACTATTGCATGAATTAAATACTTTTGAAAACATTTAAATTATGAAATAATTTAACATTGCTATATGTCGAAGAACTAAACAAAAAATTAAAAAACAGAAAAGTTATAATTTTTTTTCATTTATTTTTCCGATTGTTCCTATGGGAGCTATATGATATAGTCGTCCGATTTTGATGAAATTTAAACCATAATTCTGAAATATTAAACAATTACTATATCTCGAAGAACTAAACAAAAAATTAAAAAACAGCAAAGTTATAATTTTTTTTCATTTATTTTTCCGATTGTTCCTATGGGAGCTATATGCTATAGTCGTCCGACCCGGCTCGTTCCGACTTATGAACTACCGAAAATAAAAAGACAACTTTTTGTAAAGTTTCATGCAGATAGCTTTAAAACTGAGAGACAAATTTTCGTAGAAACGGACGGACAGACGGACATGACTAGATCGACACTACTGGTGTTGCTGATCAAGAATATATATACTTTTACGGTCGGAAATGTCTCCATCACTGCGTTGCAAACTTCTGAATCTGCAAGGGTTTAATAACTAAAAGCGGAATTAATTAAATGAAGGATTTTATTAATACATAGTCTGAGTATTTTTTTCTATTACTTTGTCAGAAAAACACAATTCAATTACAAAATTAAACCGTATATGCCAAAATCCAAAAGAGTGCTTACACTACAAAAAAAAAATGTTAATAATTCCACAACACATTATTTGTACTTATCTTTCAGGCGGATTTTTCTTGGTCAATTAAATCTGAAAATGAAACGGTTGAAAGTTTGGGTAGCGGAGACAAAAAAAATTTCGTCGATAAAAGCTTCTACATATTACAAAAGGATTATGCAATTTCTAGGACCTACAGATGTTTGGCTAATAATACGGTTGGTTCCGGACCATTTTGTGAAATTGAAGTTGCTGGTACGTGTTTATATTCATCTGAAGAATAATGCTTATTATTAGGCACTGCCCTCAGATTGAAAACTTATTAGTAAGATATATACAACGTAATACAATAAGTCAGGCAATGTCTGATAAGTCTTTTAACTAATAAAGAATTCTTAGCCAAAAATTTCTTTATTGTGCCACTGCACATGTATGTACGTTCCCCACAAAGTGACGAGACGATCGCACTTTCAACATACAAATATCTGATAACATATTTTGTAACACAAAACGAAAAAGCATTCGACTAAATAAATAAACTTTTTAAATGTTTCCATTCGGACCGTTTCACCCAAGTATTTTGCTTACACAGGTGTTTTTTATTTCAGCGTGCTGAATGGGAACATTTAATAAGTGTATTTATTTAGTCGATAGCTAGTTCCAAATATTTAAAAATAGTCAAAATACCATAATATTATTACCCTTTTTTTTTGCATAAAAAATGTTTTTGTAATTCTATACTAATATTATTTTTGGGAAGACTTTAAATTTTAACTGACAAGAAATGAAGCCATGTTCGGGAAGCAAAAGCTTATATACCCTTGCCGCTATTCCAAAAATAAAATATTTTTTTAAAACAACAATATTCTGATATGATATCTTTATCCGATTTTAATAAAATAAGAACCGTAATTCTGAAACAATAAACCATTACTTTGTAACGAAGTCATGTGCCTCGAAATCACTGGCTAACAATTTTAAGTCGATGAAATCCTCCAAAGATCAAACCTTGATTTTGAGGTGCAGTTGGACTCCTTTATTCAGAAAATGACACTCAAAATGTAATGTATGGTACCATTTTTATACCCCTGCGGAGCGTATTGTTATTTCAGTAAGAACCCAAAATCAATATAGTTTCAATGGGTTTTAATGGGTACTCAGATAATTCGAAATATGATGTTTTAATCATGTTTAATTTTTGCACTATATGCAACGGTATATAAGCTTCGGTTAGCCGAAGTTTGCTTCTTTTCTTGTCTTCTTTCTTTATCCTTTTATAAATTCAACTTTACCTTTATTTTTCTTATTCTGTAAACTTAAAATAGAACGTTTTTATTTGATTTGCATTTTTTATTTTGACAGCTGCATCAACGCTTGTAATTTGGTGGCAAGGTAAAACCCAGCCCAATACTTTGTAATGATTAATATCAGACGGAGAAATATAACTAAATATAAGTTACATTACTTGTGCCTAGCTATAAACGCTAGCTTGTGTACTAATGCGTTCTTGTCTTCACTTGAAACAATCATTTATGCTATTAATGTGTTCCTTTCCAAAATTGTTCCTCAATTATTAATTTTTCCATGCCAAACAAACTTAATGATTCTTGAATCGAAAAGTACGCCCAAAAAGTAAGTAATTTCTACTATTATATACTGTATTGTTGCAAATTGTTTACTCCATCCCTGACATATAGATTAAATAATTCTGAGCTTAATTTTAAAGTCCTACAAAAGCTAAGTGCGGCTTCGTTTTTTTATCATCATTATCGTCATATATTGTTTTATATCAAAATTATTATAATTTTATTAATACTTATAATTAACATCAACTTCTTCTTCATCCTCTTGAAAAATAAGTGTGTTAATTTCTTCACCTAAAAAGCTTAGTGTTAAGTTGACCAAAAAGACATTCTAGCAAGTGATTTCTGAAGTCAGTCAAAACCAGTCTTAGTTTAGAATGTTCCATTATTACACACGACAGGATAGTTGATCTAGACAAAGACTATAACACTAAGATGAGTAACGAGGAACAAAAGTTTGTTTCTTTGCAGCGGCTTTTTTGTAAGTCCGATGAGCTCGTTACATACGTTAATGCCTTCTGGATTTAAATTTTTGTCAACTTGATTTTCGAATTATGTTGACACCGAGGAATAAAACTAAGAGGTGCATTGTGCACATACATAGAGTGAAAGTGGCTAGTGGCGCATCGCGTTAGTTTGTTGCCCGAATTCGACTCCTGCTTGAATGCATTATTTACTCTCTATTTTTTTTTACTTTTTTTTAACTTTTTTTAGAGGACATTTTAAAATATGTATTATCATATATATATAATTAAAAAAAAAAATTGAGTCGGCATAAAATTGTATAGTTGCGCGCGTTTTTGTCAAACTGACTTTATAGTAAATAATGCTCAATATTTAAGTCGTTTAAGTTTGATAAAATTTTAGCTTGGTTTCCAAGCATTTTTTACTAAGAACTCTGGTTGCCATTATCGTTTTATTATATATATTTTTTTACCTTTGCTTTGTTAGCGGATCAATAAATACAAATATATTAATCCATGTATAAAACAAACAAAAATAGCAAAGGAAAAAAAAAACTAAAAAAAAAAATAACAAAACGTAAATATTTTTTAATAACAATAATCCCAGAAGACACTTATATATTTTAGCACGCCACACAAGAATGTTCCTTGTTTTCGTGTATGCTATGAAGTTTTATGTTTTAAAGATACCAAATATTCGGATATTAGGTGCTCTTTTTGCAGGGGTGGTCATTTATAAGTATTTTGTTGATTTTTAGGGAGGCGACCGTGTCTATCACGGCCAATAATCCACCGTTCCGCCGGGCGCCGTCTGCGGCGACGTCCTCGACCCAATGGTGTAGCAAGACGTCTAGCCAGACGGTTTGTGCGATCAAGCAAGCGATCTCTGTGTCGATTTGAACAGCTACAAATCGTCTCCGTTACCGTTGACACTTCCGTGTCCTAAAACAACCCGCGATTTTCGACAGCCTCCTTTGATATGCACGTTTGTACCATTTTAAGAGATGAATCACAAGCCGTGCCCAGCAAGTTGTTGGCCAATTTAACGTCGGGAAAAAAGTCGCAACTTAGCCATAGGGAATAGACGGCTACTTGACGGTTTACAGGACCGGCCCAAGGACGCTTCCTTGCAGGACCCCAGCATAGGGTGTAGTCCAGCACGATGTACACAGCTGTCTACAGGAAACTCCCATTTATCCAATAATGGAACAAATAGCTTCCATAGTCGCTCAGGCAACAGTGGCATTAGTTTGTAGAAGAGACCTTCGTGCCAAACCCTGTCAAAGGCCTGTCGAACATCAAGAAAGACAGCTGAGCAGTATTTGTGATCTTCTAAAGCACCCATGACATGATTAACTACTTAACTAACTTGCTCAACAGCACAATGACGACTACGAAAACAAACTGGTGGTCTGGAAGTGTATCGTCAAACGCAGCTATTGCTAAGAGCCTAGCAAGCATGATCTGCTCAAAACTCTTGGAAAAAGTGGGTAGGAGACTAATCGGCCGATAGGGTTCTGGGGAGCACGGGGTTTTCCTTTTTTTGGTACCATTGTCACTAGAGCACGTTTGAAAGGGGCTGGAAAATGACCAAGGTCTAGAAAAGCATTCAAGATTTGACAGAGTTGCGTAGTAAATGAGCTAGGCAGAGCCTTTGCTACCTTTCCGTCAATCGCGTCCATGCCAGTAGCCTTAGTGGAAACTAGTCGCTTAATATGATCACGAACCTCGTCCTCGTCTACTGAACGCACATCAAAAGGAGGGCTAAAAGACAGTCCAAATCTAGAGATCGTAGTTTGAACATCTTGCCATGTTGCAAAGTCAAATGGAGTGAAATCATATGAAAATCTCGAAATCACTGTGGGCCCAACTGCCATCGTTATGATTAAGTGAGAACTTCTGAAGCATCTGTTTTTTTTAGGTTCAATTAGGTGAGTTTCTACAGCGCAAATCCTGACACTGAGCTTATCCATTAAGAATTCATACTTTTTTTAGTTCTGACTTAGCAGCCTTCTAACTTTCCATGCCGATGGTATGCCGCGTTCTCATCTAGACGCGGCGGAGTGCATGACCTTTTCTGGCCAAGGCAGCAATTTCTGGCATCGAAGCCGATGAAGTTGGTGGAGGAATAGGATCTGTTCAACTCAGCCCCGACTTAAGAGAATCAGGGCAGAAAGTCGGGAGCCGAAACTTCTTTTATCCGAACCACGAGGTAGAAGCCTGATTTTGGTAACGAACGTATAGGCAGCAGCGCAGATATATATCAAAAGTGGAATATGGTCAGCGGAAAGGTTCGGACAATCTGAGATAGCAAGGTAGCTACACGGATGCCTCCGTACACTTCAAAATCAAAAGTCGTCGGAAGGTGGGTTTTAATCCAAGGAAAATGCGTAGGTCCGCCAGTGGCCAGAATCTGCATACTTGAAGACTTTAAAGTCTATCGAAAAGCTGACGTATTGCGCCTTTTGATCGGAATGATATTGAACGTGGTGGAAGGACTATTAGATAAACCGGTTGTTTACAGGATCTGCATTATATATATATATATATTTCATGTTGTAAAAAAAATTTGGTGCAGGATAACTCTGTCATTGCATTTTCTGACTCATAACTAAAAGATATAAAAATCCTTAACACTCCATTTAAATGTTTTGAATACTTTCTGGATGATAATTTAATTGGTTACATTGTTCATGAATTATAATTACCTGCCACTTAAAAAAATATCATAACTTAGTTTCTAAAAATCGTTTCGGAAATTCGTCAGTACATAGGAATTTTATTTTTAATGTCAGTTCTTCGCTTCCCGTGCTTAGACTTAACAATTTTCGTTAAATTTCTGTCTGAGCTTAGCTAAACACAGAAAAAACTCACGTATGTATGTTTGGTCGCCTTTTTTATGTATGTCATGATTTCAAGTCTCACCTTCCACTAAAATTGAATTAAAAACAATAAAGCACGCACTATCAATTAGCTCACTGACACACTCAGAAAAAACCCGTTCTTAGCAGTCACGATTTCAGTAAACAAAATAACTAAAATCGATAGTACATTTTGTCGGATGGGGAAAGCCTTCTCGGCTTCAAGAATGAGTAGTTCTTGAATCCAAGTCTAAGCGTTATCGTTTCCAAGAGTAAATCGTATTTGATTCTAGTCAAGTAACGTTAAATATTTTGAAACAAAACTCTTCTTCAAAAGTAAATCTTTCTCGTTTTTAAGAACGCGCTATTCTTGATTTTTCATTAAATCCGGTTCTCAATGGCAGATCGCAGTTCCCAGAAAAATGTTAAATTTTTAGATTTTTTTTACATAAATCAAAGATTAGCACTCGAAGTCATGATGGGCTATAAATGTTTTTAATAAGTTCCATATACTTTAGGTTTTTGAAACATCAATAGAGCTTTTTATGTTAAAGTGTAAAGTTTAAGTTTTTTGTTTGTTTGAAAGCGATCTGCTTTTAGATGTAGAGAAGAATGCACCAACGAAGATTATTAGTTTTCTTTGTGGATCCGGTACTTAAGCAAACTGTTAGATTTATGAATAAGAAATAATAGATGTTAGTAAGAAATTAAGAAAAAATAAGTCACATATTCATACTTTTGTTTTCCTTCAAACGAAGAGTCTGTCGCGGATAAGCACTCAAATTCCGATTGAGGGAATTGCCTCCATGATTGCCTCTGGAGCAATAAATTCGAGGCACTCTAAACCATCCCCGGCAACCCTCTGCCGACCCTAATTCAGCAATCACCTCGCTAAGGATTTCAGATCTTTGTGCCTTAGCGAATCGATGATAGGTTAGACCAATGCAAATAAACGCGAAATAAAAAGCCGGTTGGTGTTGAATTCTTCTCTTAACTCCTGGATAAATTCCAAGTTTTGTGTACTCAAACGGTCATGATAAGGGAGGCTGAAAACGTCTTGGTTGGTAATGTTCGATACAGGGGAGATTTCCACACCTGAAGTTCTCTTCTGATCTTCCCTTGGTTGATAAAAAGATCGTAAATTATCATCGCCTGCTGGTCGAGGGTTATGAGGTGAGTGCCGTGTATCCAGTCTTGAATATTTTCTGACCTGACGTTGATGATGCCGATCCACTTATCTACACAAGTAATTAGATGCAGATGGCTCCAAAGTGCGACATCCCACACGCGTACAGTTCTTTGCCACATGAGCCCTCTGATCTAAGAAAGCAGAATGTGGCTCCTGGTGAATCGATGCAGTTTTGGATTGCGTTACACTCCGCCACAACATTGGCGACAGGAATAATTGTGATCTTTTTACATGTTATCCATATCTTGGGAAATTTAAAAAATAAGTAGTTTTACGAACGAAACGGACAAGAGTTCCTTATGGGTGTGTTTGTAGGTTCGTTAAGTCAAATTGATTTAAAGTCTTCGTGGTCTAAAATGTTTGGACTCACAGTGTTGATTTTATAACCAGCATAAGGTTCTGTAATTTCATATTTACCATTTGGAAAATAATTCATGAGCTAAAGGAGGACCCGTTTTAGATCCTTAAGCGTTCTTGAGAGAATAGGTTGAAAAAATATCAAAATGTAACATTGAATTAAAAGGATCGGCAACTTGCCGATTTCTGGGTTTTTTGGAAGCCTGTCGTATTGCCAACCTCGAACATGTCTTGCAGTTATGGAGAAATTTATAGGCTGATTTTAACATCGTTGAAAAGAAATACTCGATGAGTACCTGTTAAACATTCTCCAGTGCCGATCTGTGTGCCCTATTGTTCCCGGCGATCAGAATTTCATTCCATTTTACTGCATTATTGCGAGTGTATGCTAGTTACAGTGATAGGCGTTTACACCTTTGGTAACTATTGTATCTGCGAGCTCTTCCATTATTTACTCCTTGCAGGAGAAAAAAACAGGCTTACGCAGGATGAAACTCCGTTTAGACGTGAAGCGCGTCAGGAAAATTTTTGCCACACGCGATTCTACCACATACTATCTTATGGCACTGAGTGGTTGTCTGGACAACGCGTCTGTCCGTCCTTTTCTACGCAAATAAGTCTCTCAGTTTTAAAGATATATGCATAAAACTTTTCCATAGGTGTTTTTATACGCAGGTAGTTATTTAATGATAATTATTTCTAACATTGCTTAAGAGAAATTGCAAATGTTTATAGAGGAGATGCAAAACGAATAGCTCAACCGAAAACACCCGACTGAAAACAAAATCAATGACAAGCAATATTTTCTGTTCAGAGCAAGAGCATGACTATGAATACGGACTTTTAGACCTATCATTATAAAAAACTAGCTTCATCCGTAACTCTTTAAATAGGCAAGTAGATCTTGTATTTGTTTTGGATTCGTTTGAGGTCGTTGTGTCTAGAATTGAACCTCTAGTCGTTCCAGAGGACAATTTCCCTGCCCTGCTCTGATACCTATTACCTTTTAGTTTGTGAAACTAAAACGAAACGCTTCCGTAAATGCGACTTTAATAAGCTAAACTACTTGATTTCGAATAGAACTGGAAAAACTTATACAAGTGCACGGATATGGAAAGAGCCACTGAATTATTATTTAATAGCGTTTAAAACACGTTTTTTAATGCTTGCGTTCCTGACAGTAATCCTTCAAGATATAACAGACCTCCGTGATGTACACAAAAGCTTCAAAGACTTAAAAATTTATAAATCAACACTTACAAAAAGTACAGAAGGACGGGCAAGCTATCTGATTTTTCGAAGTCAATGCTATTCTATGTATTTGAACCGGTGTAAAAAAATAATCCGAAACAATTTTATAAATTTGTAAATATCGAGCGAAATATCTCGGCCTTTCTTTCTTGGTAAGATTTAAGTCAGCTGAAACGTCTACTGACTCCGAAATTGCTGACTTATTTGCTAAGTTCTTTCAAACTACCTATAGTGCGGACTCTTGTCTAAATTCATTTTACCCTTAAAATTCAAACAGGCTAAATTGTATTGATTTCACTGTAATAACGGAAAGTTCTCCTGGGCGCGTGCTTAAGTTTTGTGCCTAAACTATTTGTAAACCGATTCTTAAACTGTTTCAATTGTCTACCTCAACATCATGTTTTCCAACTATCTGGAAAAATTCTCTTATTGATTCACTCCATAAAAAGGGAGGAAAGTCGTATGTTCAATATTATAGAGGTTTTGCGGACTCTGCCCAAATGCAGAGTTATCAGAGAACAAAGTCCGAGTTGTTTCGATCTCTAATATGCACTGATTTTAATGTTCAAGTTTGAGATTACAAAGAGCGATATGTACATGTGTGAGCTGTATGTGTAAAAGCGTATTCGATTTACAAACATATAATTACAGTGAGGGGTAATTAAGTATTACAAGTTGGAAAAGAATTTAAATTAATCAACTGTTTTTAAACAAAGTTATTTATAAACAAATAATAATACATTCAAATTGGCATTCAGTTATGATGTCATCGAACATTCTTCGCCCGTTGAATGATCCAAGGAGTATTCAAGCACCAATTTGCTCAGGCAGGGGCGCTATCTTACAGATGGGTCTACGAATGGTTCCATTTTTCACCTTGACCTCGGCCACTCTCACTCGTCCATCAGCTCCGAAATGCGTGTTGGTGATGCGACCCAGAATCCACTCCTGGGGAGGTGTATTATCCTCGTGAATTATTACAATTTAGCCAATTTGAATGTTGGCATCAGGTTTGAGCCATTTGGAGCTCGCCTGAAGTGTGTGTAAATAATCACGCCTCCATAGCTCCCAGAACTACTGCTTCAAGTACGTTACGCGCTGCCACCGCGTAAGATAGGATGGTCTGCTCTCGTCAATTGAAAGCTCCGGTACGGACTTCAAAGGAGACCCAATCAGCAGGTGCGCTGGGCTAAGTGCCTCTTCATCGTTTGGGTCTTCGGAAAGGGCTGTCATTGGACTTGAGTTCAAGATTGCCTCCGCCTCGATTGCAAAAACTTCGTACGTTAGTCAAGTGTTGCCCAAGTTTTTGATCATCAAGGTCTTCATGGACTTCACTGCGGCCTCCAACAAGCCTCCAAAGTGGGGAGCTCGCGGAGGGATGAACTTAAACTCCAATCCCACGATGCTGCTGAAGTGCTGCACATTCAATGTGTTGGCTTCGTCAAACAGCTGCTGCTTAAGGTCTCGAGCTGAGATCGAAATTAGTTGCATTGTCACAATAGATGCGTAGTAGGACGCCTCTGCGACTGACGAAGCTCTTTAAACAAAGAATAAAATTATTAGTAGACAGATCGAAAATTTGTTTCTATGTGGATTTCTTTTGACGAAAAGCATGTAAACACGGCCAAGTATATTTTATATCACCTAAAAGTGATACCACAGTGTGTGCAGCGCCGTAAAATCTTTCGAACGATTTGCAAGTCAGCCATCTTCTGATTCAGCTGGTCGATCCGCTCACCAAATTCATCCCGTTTAGAGCGAAGATCAAGTACCCCGAGTTCTAGACCTAAGATTCGTGAGCCCATCTCCTTGAACTTCCAAACAAGAAGCGAATGATTTACGGAATCAAAGGCCTTGCTTAATACGTCAGTCTGAAGGTTATTTCTAAAGCCATTTATAACGAACGAAGTTGGCTCCAAAAGGTGACATGGAGATATAATCGATCTACAAAGATGATGCAAATGAGCGATAATAACGTTTTCGAAAAGCCTGGGGGTAGCGGACAACTTGGAGATACCTCTATAATTCTTAGTATCTGATTTACAAATTAATAACAAATGATTCCTTCCAAATCGGATGGAAGTCAGTAGTTTCTAAGTATAGGGTACTCAAGAAGAAGAGAGCAGTTCTTGCGTTGAGAAATATACCATGGCTGAGGAACTCGACTATAGCTGTCACTTTTGTTATTTCTAACTTTCACAAATATTGCTCCTAATTTTTTTTTTTACAATATGTAGATTAAAAAAAATTTTAAACAATAATTTTATAGTTTAAAATGAACTGCCCAAAACGATGTTTAAAACTAAAGCTGTAAAAATATGTTTTTCTATGTTCGCTTAGGCATACACATCAAAATAAAAAAATGTATAGTGTCAATTTTTAATATTTATTTTCAATATTAACAATAAACATAATATTATTATTTCTTTAAAAACTAGAACAACTGGCATTTTGGCAACTCTGGGAAAAGACAACACTTATCATAGTAACTGCTGCTATATTGGGCTTGTTGCTGACCGTTATTATTATTTGTTGCATAATTATATGCATTTGCCGTCGTCGTCGTCGCCAGGATAAATGTAAGTTTCACGATTTAAATAAATGTGGTTCCTACGAACAAAAATTCGTAACATAATCTGTTTGCAAATCTTAAAGCGAACAACAAAATAGTTTACGTAATAAGTTGTTCACAAAATGTATTTTGCGTTCGAAATTTTCTTCATTTGTTTGACAGTTCTGTGAAATCTTCTTGTTATTGCTGTCGCTTGCGTTTTAACATAAGCTTTTAGTGCTGCATGTCTCAATCAAGACAGCCAGATCGCTACAACTGAAAAAGTTAAAAAAAATTAACCAAAATATTATAAAAAGAAGAAAGGAAGCTAATTTCGGCTAGCCGAAGTTCACATACCCTTGCAGCTTTTCCAAAAATTAAATATTCTTGAAAACATTAAAATAATAATTTGATGCGTATTTGTTTAAAAGCATTGACGTTTTTCGATTTAAATAGAATTAAAAGCGTTTTTCTGAACTGTTAAATTATAGATAAATCAAAAAGAATTTTGAAAATGATTAAAAAATAGAAAAGTTACATATAAAAAATATTTTTTTAACTATATGAAACGTAGTCCGATTTTGATGAAACTTAAACCGTAATTCTGATATATTTAATCATTACTATATGTCGAAGAACTAACAAAAAATTTACAAACAGCAAAGTTTCAATTTTTTTTATATATTTTCCGATTGTTCCTATGGGAGCCATATGATATTGTATTCCGATTTTGATGAAATTTAAACCGTAATTCTGCAATATTTAAGCATTACTATATATCGAAGAACTAAAAAAAAAATTAAAAAACAGCGAAGTTATAATTTTTTTTTTTTTTACGATTGTTCCTGTGGGAGCTATGTGCTCCTTCTGTCCGTCGTGCGTTGTAAACTTCGGACTGAAATTATAATACCCTCCGCAAGGGTATAAAAATTATAAGTTTGCTGTTTTATACCCTTGCAGAGGGTATTATAATTTCAGTCAGAAGTTTGCAACGCAGTGAAGGAGACATCTTCTTGAAATTTAAACCGTAATTCTGAATTATTTAATCATTACTATATGTCGTCCGATTTTTATGAAATTTATACCGTAATTCTGAAAAATTTAACCATTACTCTATGTCGAAGAACTAATAGAAAAATTTAAAAGCAGCAAAGTTATAATTTTTTTTGTATTTTTTTTTCTGGTTGTTCCTATGGGAGCTATATGCTATAGTCGTCCGATTTTGATGAAATTGTTCCTATGAGAGCTATATGCTATAGTTGTCCGATTTTTATGAAATTTAAACCGTTATTCTGAAAAATTTAACCATTACTATATCTCGAAGAACTAAAAAAAAATATTAAAAAAAACACCAAAGTTATAATTTTTTAAATTTAATTTTCCGATTGTTCCTATGGGAGCTGTATGCTACCTGCAATAGAAGGACAACTTTTGGGAAAGTTTCATGCAGATAGCTTTAAAACTGAGAGACTAGTTTGCGTAGAAACGGACGGACGGACAGACGGACAGACGGACATGTCTAGATCGACTCTCCTAGTAATGCTGATCAAGAATATATATACTTTATAGGGTCGGAGATGTCTCCTTCACTGCGTTGCAAACTTCTGACTGAAATTATAATACCCTCTGCAAGGGTATACAAATTTTACTTTCGATGTTTTTTAATTGATTAGAAAATACTTCAATGTCAGGGTTTAATATTTCATAGTTTTATTAAAACCGGACAATAGGAAGGATCGAATAATTTAGGGGAAAATCATTATAGCTTTACAGTTTTTGAACGCTTACGTATACAAATCGCAATAAAGTTGGCTTACAAAATTTTTTATCTTTGCAATATCAATGGTTTATAAACTTCGGCAAGCCGAACCAAACGGAAAAACCATATCAAGTTTTAAATTAAACTTTACATTTTTTATAAATCAATATTTATTTATTTAGCTTAATTCAAAATCACATGTACATACTTATGTATATAAACATAAGTTTACCTCAGGTTTGCTTGGTAAATGGCCAAAGTCATAATTGCTTCACAAACGATGACTTATAATTTGATGGAGTATATTACGAATCTATTTGCGGGAGACAATTAATTAGTTTTTAGGCTTCATTTCAGTAGTTATATGTTTATCTTACTTTTGGTATAAAGCAAATTGATTACAGCGAGTGCATATACATTATATTAGTAATTTTAAAATTGTTATATTAATTTGTTGAATATGTCCATAAATCACTCTTAAGTTAGTTATTAACTTTGGAAGTAGCGGGCTTTAGGTAATTTGTCCTGGCTTGGCGCAACATCAATTTTACTCCAAGCTTCGTTTTAAATCCGCAAGTTATTTGGTTGCATATTTAACATACTTGCCTGACTTTTGAATGTATCTATTGCATGTGTACGCTTTGCTTCGCCGTTGCCTGGTGCGACATCACTGCACGCTGTAATAAACGCTAATAAATCGCATGAAACGAATTTCCCTTTGTGCTTCTACAACAATTCCATGAACATCGCACATACTCTACTACACCTACATGTACAGACCTCACGGAAATTTCCATAGGAGCTTCCCAAAGGTAAGTCGGGAATTCTTAACTTTTTAATGGTTCGAAGTAACGAGTAATAAGTAGTTAACCTCAAATGGATTTATCACGAGTCTATATATATAATATACACGAGTATATATATATATAAAATAAAGAACTTAAAGAAGGTAAGATATAACTTTTGGATAAACTTCCGTTTAGTTGACACCTCCGCCTCAACGTTCACGTTTCGTCGCGATTTTTGTTAAATAAATTTTTAGCTTGCTACCAGAGGTCCCAAATCATCATTTATTTCTAGCCTGTCAGTCTCAGATAAATAAAGGAAAATATGATCATGTTTAGTATTTGTCTAGAAAACCGTATATATTATTTGAAAAGTGACCGGTCGTTTTGCAGAAGCCAATTCATCCAAAACGAGTGACTTTCAGTATGGTATATGGTAAGGCGGCAGCATTGGTGTGTTTTTCTTCGAAGAATTAGCATCAGTCGTAACCGTCAATGGTAACCGCAATTGCGGTCCTCTCCAGAATGGGAGCCACACAGCCAACGTTACAGGCGAACTCCTGCAAGTTACATGAAAAAATCCAACAAAACGCAGGAGTTGGGGTGGCGTCAAGGATAAGTGATATGCATACCATTGAGGTCATTGGGAGCCATACGATCGAAAATGTGCTGAAATATTGTGTCGATCGGATGACCTAATGCAAAACTTCCGAGGCAGTCATATCAGTTAATAAATAAACCGCAATTTTGTGGCTATTCAATAAAAAAAAAATATTTGAAAAATAACCACCTGTGTTATTGTATAGTCATTTTAAATCTCAACTTTTTCGTGGTCCACCCTGTACTCGGTTTGATTGTTCCTTTTCTTTAGAATTAAGTTAAACACATAATTGAGCATTTATATTTTCTGCAGTTGAGGAGAAGCGCTTCAGATGTAGTTTAGTGCTGAGAACGACCTTTCCACCGAATTACACCAATAGCCGACTACAACAATTAGTCCTTCTCGACATAATCAAACTCCCCGAAATGCCATTTGCTCACGATTGATGAAATTGTTGAAGACTCATTTATCACGGTGGATACTCTTTTTTTTTTGGATCGAATGTCTTTCGATTTTTTTATTTCTCACATTTTTTTTTATAATTTACATAAAACTATTTTTTCTTAAGAATTTTTTCTGGAATTTTTTTTTGATTAGTTGAATGTTTCTTAAGTTATATGCAAAAATGTAAATATAATGGTTTTACCAGATTTTTTCAATGTTTCCTTTATTTCCGTAATTATAACCACATAGATGAAGATGAGCAAATGACTAATTTTGAAATTTAATTTTGAATCGTTAAAGTATAATTATAGAATAATGTTTCTAACTGATTTAGATTAAACTCTATTTTTCTTATTGTTTGTATTTTTTTTATTTAAGTTATTATTTATATCTAACAATAATCACAGTAGAACCTCAAAACCGTAAAATTCTCAACTTAAAGGGTTATATACAGTTAGAAAGCGGAACAAAATCGAATTTTTAAAAAAATTTTCTGAGGAAAGAATTAATTTTATTTGTGATATTTTGTACACATATTATGTTATATGTATTTTAAGTGTATTTTAAGATTTAGTATTGGAAAATATATTTATTTGTAAAGGAACTGCAGCTAATCTCCGGGAGCTCCTCTACAAAAAGGCGTTTTGCGGTGACCACTAATCTTTGGCCTGGATCCTCTGAAATTTAAAAATCAGATTTCGTTTAAGTATTGTGAAATCGAGTAAATAATTGAAAGAATAGGCATAATAAAGTTTTTTGACAAAATGACGGTTTCTCAGAAAAGAGAATTGTTGTTTGAGCAAAATTTCGGTCCTAAATTGCTTATAAAAAATATTTGGATTATTTTTTTTTATTATTTTTAATTAATTACTAAAAAATATGTTTGAGAAGCTCGTGTTGAAATTTGAAACTTAGCCAATTTGAGAAATGTTGGTCACCGACTTTGAAAACATCATTTTGAGTAAAACGCTTGTAAAGTTTGAAGGTGTACTTGCAAGCACTCTGAAACGCTTTTTTCAAATTTGGATGTAATTTCGATAATTTTTACTGGAACAATCAGTGTGCATTCTTAAATATATGTATATTTTAACAAAAAAAAATTTTTTAATTCTAACTGCATACAACCCCCTAAGGTTGAACTTCTTTTATTGGAAACAAACAGTGTTTTTACTTTATGGGCGTCATAACGTGTTGATGGGGATGCAAAAAAAAAAAATCCTCCTCTGGCGAACAGGATTCCGGCTGAACGGGTGATCTGAAGTAAAAAAATCAAAAAGCATTTAAATCTGGGAGCCTGTGTCTATCGCCCGTAGTAACATAATTGAAAAACGTCACGTCGCTTTTTTATACACAACAAAATATAGAAAAAAAACGTGTTTTTTAGAATCATAAATTCAAAGTCGTGTAAAAACTTTATTATTCAACATTTTTCAAAATATTTACTAAATGAGCGGAGAATTTTTTTTATTACATCCCCTATTTCATCGTGCTCTAGCTTCTACAGTTTTTAGTATTTTTACTCAAAAAAAATCATGATTGTACACAAACATACCCCATATATATATATATATATATATATATCTTTTTAATTTGTATCTTTGAAAAAAATTCACAAAAAAAAAAAGTAAGCAAAACGTCAACACGTCAAATTTAACTTGATTTTATTTGGGCACATGATAGATACGTGTTCAAATCTTTAATTGTCTCGCAACAAACATAAAAATGTTCATGCTGTCCATTACATAGTTTTAACCCAATTTTGCGTGTAACTAGTTTTTTTGATCATTAATTTTCATTTTTTATTTTCATATAAATAAACTGTTTCGCCTTTTCATCCGTAACTCATTACCTTCATTCGTCCTCCGGTCCCACACTTTACCTCCAGTGTACTATTTGGTCAGCCGGAAAAATTGCAGGCGGTTGAAAGCCTATCAATACTGGACAAATATGCAAAGCCACCTTCAATGCGCTTCAGTGGCAACGCACCAAAATCTCCACCGCGCTGGCCAATTCGTCCTGGGGTGATGCTTCATGTAAGCAATAATACAAAGGAAAATCTGACTGTAAATCGAATGACATTAAAACCGAATCTATCTGGCAATACATGCAATATGAGTCTGATGTCAGACCAATTTGATGCTGCCTTAAGGAAGAGTGAGGCTAACTTCGAAAGTACCATCCTCACTGAGGTCTCAGTGGTTTCAGAGAGAAATGCAGGATCGGAGTTTACTACAGTTTCAAGACCACAATCAGAGGATAAAAAGTCTGCAGCAGAAACAGCTCCATTGGATAACTACCCTGCCAAGGCACCACGAGCTAGTTTTGGCCAAAACAAATTGGATCATGTTTTAGAACTCCTTTTTAAAAGGTCTAAAAAGTCTTCGGCCGATTGCACTCGGGATAGTCAGCGGAGTCATGTGGGTTTATTACAGACTTTTTGGCGTGGTCTGTCTTTTACTGAAAGCTCCTCGCCATTCGGAACTCAACAGCGTCCAAAAGGAATACGTTGCAGCGGAAGTGGTACAGTATTTGCTACACAATATCAGTTTTACCTTAACATTTATTGTTTCCCCTTTTTTATTGTTTTACTTTAAAAAAAATAATCATATAGTAACATACAAAAAGGCCAAAGATAATATTACTACAACGACAAAAGCAGCACCATTAGGTGAATCATCTTTAATAAACAAACCCAGCAATTGCCAATCACATTCCTCTGTGACATTACCTGTGCCTTTATTATACAAGAATGCTGATTCTGCTAATATAGTTACTACAGGCGCTGAGGAAAACCTTTCAGAGAAAGTAAAAGGCTTTACATACAATGTCGCCCACGGTGTCATAGACGTAACCTCATTGGAACCTCGCCAAAACCACAAATTTACACCTTCACCAAAACTTCTACCTCCATCATTACCATCGCGGAGTGCACGCAATACATACAATTCCGCCGATTTAAAGTTGGTTCCATCCCGTGCACTTGTTCATGTGCAAAGTAAGAATACATTAAAAGTACTTTTGTTCGATATCGCGCATTTAGTATATACATCATCCCTTTATTTTTGTTCACTTGTTATACCCTTGCGAACTCAGCAAAGGGGCCAAAGAATAGTTCTATATTTAAAAAAAAAATTCTAAATAAAAAATTGTTTCAATTTTTTTTTAATAACCCCCTTTCATTTTCTTATAATTAACTTTACTTCAAGTATCAATTTAGTTAGAAAACTATCAATAAGAAAAGCTTCGAGTTAGATATTATAAAATACGCTTCAATTATTGACTGCATTGATTATTTCAGTACATTTTGTTAATATTTTTTTAAACAATTTTTATTTAATTTTATAACCATTTTATATCTAAAGCTCTGTATAAATAAGAGGTTGTAACAACAAACAAATCGTAAGTATTTTTCCTAAAAAAATGCAATCCGGAGATCAGCATAAAAAGGGGTAACACAAAAATATTTCGATTGAAATTGGTTTGAAATTTGTTCATCATATTTACACATATTTCAACCGAATTTTAATCGAGTAGATTTCAAGTAGTAGTAGTCACCCCTACTTGTATGTATTTGTCAATCTATTTTGATCTAACCTCAGCAGCTCATATGTAAAAAAGTTATATTTTGTTGTCGTTCGCATGTTCCTGTAATATTTAATACTTAAGCACCGTTTTTTCAAGCTATAAGTATAAACATAAATTTAATTTTAACACTCTTAAAATTATTTCCTTATGCATTTCTTTTTAAATATGTGAATTACTTTGTTCTTCATTTGCTTTCTATATAAAATATATAAATTCGCCGGACTTAAAATATCACCACGATCGTTTACAAAAATAATAAAACAATCCGTATCGTATATGCCCTATATAGTACACGACAAGTCCTCTTCACTGGGGGAACCATTGACGGAACCTGGCGAGTATGAGAATCTTCCATTTCATGGTCTGCAAACGGCACCTAACAAGGTATTATAATTTACATATTTCATCTTCCAACAATGCGTTTAACCTTCAATATTCACTAGACTTACTTCAAAAGAAATTTAAATGCACCAATTCTTGTTATTGTTTTGCATATATTTGATCATGCGTTGCAATAATTTAATTTAAGATTCGACAATTCGACAAGACAAAAATTTGTCTTTACCTTTAAGTATAGTTGCCTTTGTTATAGTATAATGTATAAAATCGTTTTTTGATTTCTTTAATAATTAATGCATTAATTCCCCATACCATTGCAAAGGTCATAAAAATAAAAATATAAAAGCGCTGCCGCCAGTGAGTCTATTATATCTAGTTTTTTTTCATATACGTTTAAAATATTTTAAATAGGTTAATGAAAAAATCACTATAACATAAGGTTTTTTTTGTGTATATTTTAAAAAAATAATTCATGAAAATTAGGTTTGAATTATTTTAATTGGAAAATGGGTGTATAAGATAAGACAACACTGAAAAATTTGTAAGATATAAAATATTTCCTTGTCATTTAAATTGCGAAGACAGTTTTTAAATCTTTATTGTTGTTCGCTAGCAAAACACATTTAAACTTATAACTACATATAAAAATAAAATAATATTTATGCATATTATAGCTCTTTCTACCAATATAAAAGAAACGCCGATGCACTAACAAACAAACTAATAAAGTTTTTCCCTTTATTTTTATCGTTTCCCAACTAACTAACTAATGCTGCTTATGCCATGGATTTATACCAGTCCTCTACTACTCCTACAAATTTTAATAACAACGCAAATTCGGTACGAGTTGCTCCACGACTCAAAAGACTCAATGGAATGATCAATCAGTCATCCGCCAACCATCAGCAAGATCGTCAGACCTTTCAACATCCACATGTCGACCAGGAACTGGAACAAACTCACAGATTACAATACAACACCAAGCATCTCCCCATATATACTGATCAGCAAAATCAAAGCTTTAGTGGACTAGTTACCCCTCGCCAAGTTCATCATAATGTAATCAATTGCTTTCCAAAGAGTATTACCAGCACTGAGTATTACCAGCAACAGAATCAAATCCAATTACAAATTCCAGCAAGAGCAGCTGAGCAGTTTAGCACCAGTTCCTTGTCCAACATTGAGCTATCAAATTCTGTAGAACTTGATTGTCGACCTTCCTTCATCGTGATGGAACGACCATCAACTATCACATGCTCGTCACTGTCAAACACTAATCCCTTTTTGGCTGGTAGTAACTTTAAGAAATACGAAAAGGCGGGTGAAGAGCTGCTTAGAAGTATGCCACGAGCAAAGCACAGCAAAATCGCACTGGATATGGAAAAAAAGTTTTATTCACTTAAGTTTCAAGAGAGCAAGCTAAAAAATAATGCACATATTGCAAACTCCTCATTGGGCACCACCACATCAGCTACATCCTCCGCTACTGACGTTAACTCTTCATCAACATGCAAAAGGCATAATTCATTTGCTGACCATGACCATAGCGATGTTGACTTGAGTGCGCAACCCGTGCGCCTTTATGATCTGCCTGCCTACGAGAGTATGGTGGTTGAAGACTCAGCCAACACAAATATTGAATTAAAAATGGGCGATGGCAAGCGAAGTTCTAACCAAAGCCTGGCCACTGCTCAGTTGCACACTCAACTAGGCGAAGATAAAATTATAAAACACCACCAACGTCACCATCACCACCACCAGCAACCAAATGACGAAGGGATTTTTGCTGACCATCCGTTAATGGATACCGAGCGTATCAGCATTTATCGAAGCGACTCCGGAATATCCAATAGCTCTTACGAGTCACCATTTCCTATAGCGTTATCACAGAAGCGACCACCAAACCAAGGAAATGTAAACACATCCTCCGGCTCAGCTGTTCGAAAACATGTTTACAAAAATATAGAGGCTCAGCATAGTGTCTTGACTCACGATGATTCTGCTTATGAACCCTCTTCAACAATAAAGACTTCCGAAAGCGGAGCAGCATTAATTAATAATTGTTCTGCTCCCACAACCTGTGGAACGCCTTATAGTATTTCTGCCTCATCGCATTATAACCTTCACCAGCCTCTTATTCAGTGCAAAGGAAATGAACAGACTACGCACGAAGATTTTGAACAGTACAGAGTTGGTAAACAGTCCGCAAATTCCGTCTCTACAGTTTACAACGCCTTCAGCAAAAGCAAAGTCAGATCGGCACTAGTGCAGTGTGGTAGTGTTCCAGCAACGAACAAGGTGCGTATTAAAAGAATAAGTCCCGTAAAAAAGACGCTCAGAAAAAAATTTTTTTTTCTTTTTTACAATATTAGCAAAGCACACCAATTTTTTAAATCCATTACATTTTCACTCATTTCTAATTGTGCCACTGACACTTACGTCTAACAGGAGCACCACTGATATTTTATCTCAGCAATATTTTGCTGCATTTTCGTTCAATTATTATGGTTTGATAGTCAAAGCAGCTAGTACTACGAAAAAGATGCGTTTAAACATGGCTATATATACTCGTAGAGTAAAAGGATATTTTGTAATCGTTGAAACGTATGTAACAAGCAAAGGAAATCGTTTTCGACCTTATAGGTATATACTCTTGATAAGGATCAATAGCCGACTCGATTTAGCCATATCCGTTTTTGGGATTCGACATGCAGATTCTAGTTATTCTTACGCAGCGCAAGTTTATTTCAAAACTTGAATACGCCTGCAAAACACGAGAGTTAGTCATGTCATTCTCAGAAAGGACAGAGGTAGAGGGCTGTGTTTGTGTGTTACGGTTATATCAATCGGTAGACAAAAAAAAACGAGGTATTACTTATTTTGACGTCACTGCATATTTGAAGAACGAAGTTTGTCGACAGCGGTTTTATAATGTTCGTGTGCTCTCTGCCGCTGTTCTGCATCAGAAAGGGTCGCTGTTGCGGAGGTGCTGCTCCCTTTTTGTTTGTAGTGTTGTCAAAGCACGTAATTGTTTTCTGGGTGAATATTTATTTTCAGCTGAATGCCGGGTGTCAGGGAACCTGACTACACCGTTGCCCTTTGGTTTTTTTTTTGTTTTTTTTTAATATCCCCAAAATTGCAGTTTTATTGTTTGAAGACTACTTCATTCGGAATCAGTTTGCGCAATGGGCCGATCAAAGACAAGCATTTTCCACATCGGTGGTTACGTCGATAAGCAGAATAGCTTGTCGAATCTAATGCACGCGCAACAAGTGACTGTTTGTTGGTAGGCTTTTGTTTCCCTCGAATCAAAGATCTTTTTTTAGAACTATTTTTAAACGCATTTTTTTTGTGGGCCGCTCTTTATTATTCCCATGTTAGTTTTAGTTCTGTAAACAGTTCAAACATAAAAAAACATTAAAAAATTATGGCCTGATAGGAGCTGTTTAGAGATTATCAGATAAAAAATCAAATAACAAAAACAAACTTATTATATACATAGTATAATAAAAAAGTGACAGTTCTGTAAAATTCGAAACATTTTTTTAGTCTAAACTAAGATTAATAACACTAGATTGCAAAATTTGTCAAAGAATTTACTTCAGAGATAAAAGTTTTGTGCGTAAAAAAAATTATTGTTTTGAAAGTTATAGACCACCGGTTGCTCCTAAAGTCTTGGTGGCTTAGGAATTTTAAAATGTAATGGGAAGAAAGGAAAAAAATTGGCCTATGACAGAGAATTCAGTTTGACGAGATATAAAGATCGGCTGGCCGAAGACATAATTTATTATTTTTATTAACAGCAAATCAAGACTTAAATTCTAGAATACATTTTTTAATTTGTTTACTTACATGATATTTGTTACATTTGGGCTGAACACGACGACAACATAACAACGATTTATTCAACACATCCCTATTATTGCATGATTTTAACAACTAATTAATTTAACTAACGGCAGAAAAACAAATCGCTGGTTATTAATCCATTTCTAGCAAGTAATGGGAATAATAACACATTCATTGGCAATAACTACAAAAAGAAACTGCGACGGCAAACCATCAGTGACCCATACGGACATATCCAATGGCAGCCATACGTTTATTCTGCCGACAATTGTGACGTTTCAAAAAAAAGCGAAGACTACCGTTCAGAAGGCGTTAGGGTTAACAGAGATAGTTCCAAGTTCCAAGCAACATCAGCAGAGCATATGCAAATCAACAACACCGCAAAAACTAGTTGTACAAAGGCCAAACATTATAAACGACTCCTAATACCTAATGACATACAGCTCCAAAAGTCTCAATTAGGCTCGTTAACCGCCATCGATAATTTGCCGTCCGAGATTGCTTCAATCCTCCCGATAGGTTCTTCGTCTAATGGGACCCTCGATTGTCTAGCCGTACGACGACCCATACGACTACCATTGCGAAAACATCACACCTTCCATTTTCAAAGCACACAGACAGTAAAAGGCAAGCTACAACAGTGGCGGGAGCAAACGCAAATTCAGCTGCGAGAACGGAAGAAGTTCGAGCAGGAGACGAGGGCTTCGGTGTTGCGTCCTCTGGATTTAATTGAACAGCACGCCTTCAAGCCGATTTCACTTACGCCTACCATAGCAGATTCGGAAGAGCAAAAGCCAAGGAATGAGAGTCAAATTGATCACCTGGAATTACAACCTGAATGCGGACATAATGTTACAGAGGCAGACGATGATGAAGACCTTGGCTACAGTTTTTGCGAAGAAGAATCCATGGTAGACATCGATAACTATCCCACCACGGACAATCTTAATACTGCCCCAACCAACGGCTCCAGTACATCGAAAGCTATAGAAAACGCAACTGCAGGTGCTCTTGAATACTTTAAGTCACAAAGCTGTTGTGAAGTACACATTTAAATATAAAATAAATTCGAAAGCCTAAGTGAAGTAAACAAGGTATTTTGTAATAAATAGTAAATAAATTTTAATATTACATATTTTTACCTTAAGATACCTAAAATTGTCAATAAAAGTAATAATAAATATATAAATAGTATTAGTTTCATACTTTTAAATTGCTTTTGTGCAAAAAAACATTTTTTTATACAATTACATTATTTCAAACTGATATTTTCAAGGGACCGTAAATTGTTGCAGTTTTTATAAAAGAAATTTATTTTTCAAAGATTTTTTTTCAGCTTCAGTCAGAGCTCGCAAATAACAGTTGGCCGGTTTTTTTTACGTTCTACGCACGCACATAACCGAAAACCAAAAAAGAATCTAGCTTAGTCAAGCCGAAGCTTATATATCCTTTGAGTTATTCCAAAAATTTAATTTTCTTTTTAACGACAATATTCCAATTTTTCTGGCTTTATGAAGATATAATGATTTACCTCTTAATTATTCGATCGTTCCTATGGCAGCTAAATGACATCGTTGTCCGATTTTAATAAAAACTATTTAGACAAATTAGCGAAGTTCTAATATTTTCCTATATTTTTCAGTTTTTTCCTATGGGAGCTTTATGATAAGTCGTCCGATTTTAATCAAATTTAAGCCGTAGTTCTAACTTTACAACTAAGATCGAAAGTATGAAGTCGTTGTCCGATTTTAATAAAATTAATACAATGTTTAAAAGAACTAAAATAAATTGAAAATAAAAATGATACATTTTAAAATATTTATTCGATTGTGTACATGGAAGCCCAATGCCATAGTCGCCCGATTTAATGGAATTTAAAACTTAATTCTGAAATAGTAAACCAATTCTGTATGTCAAAGAACAAAAAAAAAACAGCAAAGTTATAATTTTTGTTCGTAAATTTTTGATTGTTCCTATTGGTGCTATCTGCTATAGGCTTCCGATCCAGCTTGTTCCGACTTATGTATTACCTGCAATTGAAAAAATAAGAGATTTGGGAAGGGTATAAAAATAAGTTTTGTTTGCTCTTGTTATAAACAGAACTATCTGTCATTATACTCTTTCAGAGAGTATTACATTTTCAGTCAAAAGTCTGTAAACTAGTGAAGGGGAGATTTCCGACCCTTTAAAGTATATATATTCTTGATCACCATCACTAGGATCTATCTGCATTAAAATTACACAAAATTTGTAACCATAAAATTAAGAAAAATATTTGGTGAACTTATAAAAAAGGTTTAAAAAAAAACAAGAAAGAAAGCAAAATTCGGCAAGCCGAAGTTCATATACCCTTGCAGCTATTGCAAAAATTAAATATTCTTTAAAACATTATAATTATGATTGACTTGCGTGTATGTTTACTTTGAAGCTATTTGAAGCTTATTTGGTAGTTAAATTAAAAAAAAATGTTTTGGATTATGTTTATTGTTCCATGGGAGCTTTAAGTTATAGTCGTCCGATTTTGATGAAATTTAAACCGTAATTCTGATATATTTAACCATTACTATATATCGAAAAAACTTAAAAAAGAAATTAAAAAACACCAAAGTTATAATTTTTATACCCTTGCAGATGGTGTTATAATTTCAGTCAGAAGTTTGCAACGCAGTGAAGGAAACATTTCCGACCCTATAAAGTATATATATTCTTGATCAGCATCACTAGCAGTAGTCGAGTCACTATCTGCATGAAACTTTCCCAAAAGTTGTCTTTCTATCGCAGGTAGTATATAAGTCGGAACGAGCCGGGTCGGACGACTATAGCATGTAGCTTGGATAGGAACAACCGGCTTGCCGAAGTTTGCTTTCTTTCTTGTTTTATTTATTTTTTCAATTGTTCCTATGGCAGCTATATGCTAAAGTCAGCCGATTTTGATAATTTAAGCATTACTATATCTCGAAGAACTAAAAAAAAAATTAAAAAACGCCAAAGTTATTATTTTTTTTGTATTTATTTTTCCGATTGTTCCTATGGGAGCAATATGCTCGATCCGACTTATATACTACCTAATCTACAACAGAAAAAATTATTAGTCAACAAATAAATTATATTTACAAAAACTTTTATCTCGACCTCGACTTTAACTCGCACCGCTCGCACCATAGAGCAATGCTCTAATCCACTCGACAAAGCATGCTTCCTAAAACGCGAGTCCTAATGAACGTAAAAGAATTCTCAACCAATAAGAGGTCATACAAAGTAAATGTTCTTCTATGTAAGCGATTTTTTACAAAGGTTTTTGAAATTAATTTTTAAAAATTTATTTTAACTAGTTAACAAGAAAGAAAGCAAACTTCGGCAAGCCGAAGTTCATATACCCTTGCAGCTATCGCAAGAATTAAATATTTTTGAAAACATTAAAATTATAATTTACTTGCGTATATGTTTAAAAACATTGAAGCTATGACGATTTGCAGCTTAATTATTTGATTGTTCTTTTATATATTTTTATTATTTGTATGGGAGCTATATGATATAGTCGTCCGATTTTGATGAAATTTAAACCTTAATTCTAAAATATTTAACCATTGCTATATGTCGAAGAACTAAAAAAAAAATTAAAAAACAGCAAAGTTATAATTTTTTTCAATTATTTTTCCGATTGTTCCTATGGGAGCTATATGCTATAGTCGTCCGATTTTGATGAAATTTTAACCATAGTTCTGAAATATTTACCCATTGCTATATGTCGAAGAACTAAACAGAAAATTAAAAAACAGCAAAGTTAAAATTTTTTTCAATTATTTTTCCGATTGTTCCTATGGGAGCTATATGCTATAGTCGTCCGATTTTGATGAAATTTTAACCATAATTCTGAAATATTTAACCATTGCTTTATGTCGAAGAACAAAACAAAAAATTAAAAAACAGCAAAGTTATAATTTTTTTTCAATTATTTTTCCGATTGTTCCTATGGGAGCTATATGCTATAGTCGTCCGATTTTGATGAAATTTAAACCATAATTCTGAAATATTTAACCATTGCTATATGTCGAAGAACTAAACAAAAAATTAAAAAACAGCAAAGTTATAATTTTTTTTCAATTATTTTTCCGATTGTTCCTATGGGAGCTATATGCTATAGTCGTCCGATCCGGCTCGTTCCGACTTATACTACTTATACTACCTGCAATAGAAAGACATCTTTTGGAAAAGTTTCATGCAGATAGCTTTAAAACTGAGAGACTAGTTCGCATATAAACGGACGGACAGACGGACGGACAGACGGACATGGCTAGATCGACTCTACTAGTGATGCTGATCAAGAATATATATACTTTATAGGGTCGGAAACGTCTCCTTCACTGCGTTGCAAACTTCTGACTGAAATTATAATACCCTCTGCAATGGTATAATAATTTGACAGTTCAGAATTACGATTTTAGTTTTATTAAAATCGGAAATCGATATTATATTGCTGCCATAGAAACTAACAAATAAATGAGCTGCAAATCATCATAGCTTCAATGTTTTTAAACATATACGCAAGTCAATCATAATTTTAATGTTTTAAAGAATATTTAATTTTAGCAATAGCTGTAAGGGTATATGAACTTCCTATCTTGATTCTAATTGATTCTGAAATATTATTTGAAGACCAAAGACTATGATAAGTTTAACGAAAGAATACCAAAAGAATAAAATTGTTACATCTTTAACTTATAAAAAACATTAAATTTTGTGTTAAGGTGTACAATTTTCTATATCCCCTTGTTTTATAGTTATAGGTTGTACCGCTGTGAAGCAGACATTTTTTCTTTTCTGTCCATCGGTCCGTTTGTATGATTGCTTTTGCGCATTCAAGTCTGTTAAAACAACTTGGGTGATACTTTTCCAAAATTTTGCTTTTTACTGCAGGTGGCATATACGTGGTGGTAGGAAAAAATGACAAACAATTGTAAAAACCGCCTTAGATATTTTCTAAAATATACTCGAGGTATAGTAGTTATTACGATTTCAAAACTAAATTTTTATTATATATACAAATCTAAAATCTTTACAATAAAAAAGACATGAGATGTAACTTCATTTTTTTTCGTTTTACTGAATAATTTATTTTTATAATAAATGGTATGGTATTCTTTGTCTTTCCAAAGGTCCAATTCTCTTTTGTTTGACTACTAAAAAACAGTATGAAACACTTCGCTAATTTTTAATCAATATAGTTTTGTTGTCCTACACACTTAAATAGAAAATAAATTCTTATGAAAAAAATATCTTAGGTTATTTTTAATTTTTTACATAAAAACTTGTAAAAGTATAAAATATCCAGATTAAGATTCGTCGAAAAGATAAAATGGAATAAATAATAAAATACTACAATTTAAAATAAACTCATTTGGCGGCACTCATGCTTATATTTAGGATCACATAATAAATTAAATTTACTTATCATTTTCAAAAATGTTCTTTACTTAACCTAAATTAAATCAATTTTAATTTTTTAGCATCTTTCCGACTTTGAGGATCCTTACAAAAGCAGCAATACCTATATATTCTAAGTTCTTATTTGAATAAATGTCCCATAACAAAGAGTGTATATTGTCCCAGTAGAAAAAGGTAAATTTAAAATTTTTGTTTTATTGTTGCCAAATATTAAATTTAAATTTAGATTCTTCACTAAAATATATTAAATTGCTTTTACATATGCGAGCACAGCCCGAACTTATTTATTATCAAAGTAATTCAATATGAATCGCAAATTGTTAGTCATACGCATGAAAGGAGTTATACATACCAATATTACCATGCGTAGTCCAAGTACACCCTTATTAAAACTAACTAACATTTATTATTTCCCATATTCGTAAAACAGCCATTAAATACTGAAAGTTTTGATGATGAATTCATTTATGCTGATCTCGAGAGTCAACATTACGGACCTATAAATTACAAGGCGGCTTCAATTTACTCCCAGGTAAAAAAAAACAAAAAGACGGGCGCTCTAGATGAGCTTAAATAAAAAGCTTTTGCAGTGCATTTTTAAATAAATATGTATGGTATTAATTGTATCATATTTTAATTTTATTATGATTTAAAAAAAGGATGTGCTTAAAACCAATAAAACCAAAATTGATTGTTCAATAATTTTAAAAAAACTCATGAGTTTTA